CTGGCTCATATCCAGTTTTTCACCCACCAGTATACCCAAGTCCTCCTCTGCAGTGCTGCTCTCAATCCATTCAGCACCCAGCCTGTACTGATACTGGGGACTGTCCTGACCCTGGTACAGATCTGCAGTGTTCAGAATTTTCTTTCTTCTCATGTTTCTGTTCTGTTTTTCCTCCAGGTGCACCAGATCCAAAGTTGGCTTATGAACTCTAAACAATGCTGAATGAACTCTCACATCCTAGGGGCCTGAGTGGGATTGCTTTTTAGGGAAGCAGAACGTGAGAACTATTTCCTCCCACTCAAAATAAATCTGCTGCAGATAGAATAGCGTTTTAAGGACTGTTCATCTCTCAGGCAGCTTAAGGATCTTGCATTCAATTCCAGCACAGTGCCAGTTTATTTTTTTTCAATAAAGCTTCAGATTTGATCCATTCTTTACAGCCATTCCTGAAGACTTGGCAAAAGACCTTATTCTACCTCAGCAGTAGTTTTTGTTAGCATCAGTTAAGAAAATAATGTAGGTTCTTCTTCAGCCATGCGGAAGCAACACTTCAGAGATAAGTATAAGGCTGCTTTACAGCTAAAAAGTTCAGGTATATAGGTGAGAAGCTGGAGTTCAATCTCATGCAATGGTAAATATCTTCAATTTATACAGGACTAGGGGAGTGATCGTCCCCCTGTACTCGGCACTGGTGAGGCCGCACCTCGAATACTGCGTTCAGTTTTGGGCCCCTCACTACAAGAAAGACAATGCGGTGCTGGAGCGTGTCCAGAGAAGGGCAACGAAGCTGGTGGAGGATCTAGAGAAAAAGTCTTATGAGGAATGGCTGAGGGAAGTGGGGTTGTTTAGCCTGGAGAAAAGGAGGCTCAGGGGAGACCTTATCACGCTCTACAACTACCTGAAAGGAGGCTGTAGCGAGGTGGGGGTCAGTCTCTTCTCCCAAGTAACAAGCGATAGGACAAGAGGAAATGGCCTCAAGTTGCGTCAGGAGGAGGTTTAGATTGGATATTAGGAAAAATTTCTTCACCAAAAGGGTTGTCAAGTGTTGGAACAGGCTGCCCAGGGAAGCGGTTGAGTCACCATCCCTGGAGGTATTGAAAAGACATGTAGATGTGGTGCTTAGGGACATGGTTTAGTGGTGGACTTGGCAGTGCTAGGTTAACGGTTGGACTTGATGATCTTAAAGGTCTATTCCTACCTAAACGATTCTATGATTCTATGACTACCCGCACACTGTATCACTGAACATTCAATGATAAGTTATCTTCTAGAAATTGGATAGCAGAATAAATATGAGCAGTGCTTGCAGACATGTTAGGAAAAGGTTGCAAAAGTTGTTCTTTCTGATGCAACTTTTGTGTTCTTCCACTTGTGACTTTTAAAGTACCTTGATCTTCAACAAGATGCCAAACTACAGTGGAAAGGACGTCATCCCTCCCCAGAGAGAGTTGTTTCCTGTGAAGTTGTTTCCTTCTTCACTATGAGGGTGGTGAGGCACTGGGACAGGTTGCCCAGAGGAGCTGTGGGTGCCCCATCCCTGGAAGTGTTCAAGGCCAGGTTGGATGGGGCTTTGAGCAACCTGGTCTAGTGGAAGGTGTCCCTGCCCATGGCAGGGGAGTTGGAACTAGATGATCTTTAAGGTCCCTTCCAACCCAAACCATTCTATGATTCTATGATAAATATAACTGTAGCACCGAGATCACGCTATTTACTTGTATTTGCCAAGTCTTGATTGAAAAATTATTAGTTTCAAAACTATCAGATAAGACCATCTTTTGACTATGTTGCACTTCAGTCAAGTTTGCTAATTTATTGCCAAATCAGACATTTACTGAAAATGTATACTGTAAGTTTGTATCAGATGCCTCTACACGTGAAAAAAACATTTGACAGAAAAGCTGGTGCACAGAAAATAAAAATGAAAAGCAATTCTGACCCTAGAATCTACATGAAGAACTCTTCTCAGCAAAGCTTTAAAGGAACCAATCACAATACAGCTTATAACAGCAACACTAATTATTCTGTCAAAGAAGCAATATCCAGAATGGGAATTCTATGCTAACCATGCCACAACTATAATCACAAACACACACACCACCAGGACTAGCCAAAGGACAGCACTAGTGGGGGTAGGAATTGGATGGGGCAGAAAAGCATCTGGGTAAAATCCTAGGGCAGCTAGTGCTCACCATGACATTTACACTTAATCTGAGTCATTCATATCGTAATCCGTTTCTTCATCCTCACTCTGAGTGGCATGCAGCATGCAGCAAGTATAGAGAAAGGAAGGGAAAAGAAGAGATTGCAAGTGAGTCAGAGCTGCAAGAAAGTACAGTCCACTTACACTTGAAGCATCTGGGAATGACATTTATTTACTTTTATCTGGGACCCCCACTCTTTGTAAGGAAGTATGACAGCAGACAATTTCAAGGAGGAATGTTACAGATGTCATGAAAATTTCCTTTTTCAAATGTCCTGAAGTAAGCAGATAGAAGCCAACAGTGACATGCAACATAACAATAGGGGCCGTAAATATAGAGAAAATTTAAATAAAACTGTGAAGCTGGTACCTTAACTCTGTGTACTCTTCGCCATGGATGGGAAAGGATAGCACTTGAGAATCTAACTTTGGATGCAGATGTTATGAACAAGTTTTGGTCATTTGTCCCAAGAGTGACAGGTCAACAAAGTGGTATGAAAGAGAAGAATACTTGTGGGAATATAGGTTATCTTTCAGTAGTGCCACAGCTACCCGTAAAAGCTACTGGAACCATTTAAGTCAATGTCCCAAATGCCGTTAATTTCCTTCGCTTAGGTGTATTAGAAGGTTACACAGAAGTCAACTACTAACTTACTAAGCAAACTGTTTTCCAAAAAAAGAAAACACAAGAAAAAAAGTCTCTAAGAAGGAATGAAGGTGAAGCTTGATTAGATGGGCTATCAGAAAATGTTTTTTCCTATTCTGAAAGTCCAGTACTATTAAGTAAAATTGAAGTGCTTGTCAATAAAAATTACATACTGGCAGTTTATTGTTTTCTCTAACCCAACCTGCTGTAAAAGTAATAGGAAGACTTTCTCATGGCTTCTAAAAGTCAGTCCCCAGTACACGAACACATTATTCTGTATATATCACTGGATACCAGAATTTCAATCATATGAACTTCATGAAGACCAACTCAGACACTAATGAACAGATTGCAGACTAGAAGATTAACGCTGGCTAAGAGGGAACTATTGAGACAACAGCTCCCAAGGTCCAGTCAAGATTCCTGAACACAGCTGTCAGAAACCTCTCAACCAAAAAGAAATTTTTTGGTTTTTCTTTTTTTTTTCCAGGCACAACATATACCTATAAAAAATAATTGATCTATTAGAAACACAATATATAAAAAATAATTCTTCAAGTATTGCCATTAATTGCTAGCAACAGCTCAACTCTTCCAGGACAAAAGGAGTGAATGTTTATATCTCCAACCAAAATCAACAGTAATTCTTATTCATCACCCTGGTCAAATTATGCTCTGCTCTCTTCTCTGAAACAGTGACCAAGAAGCACTTCAATGGAGATGTCTAAGATTTAGCTTCTCTCAGAGCTACTGAATTTACAGAGTTGTACTGCACTCTGAACTAGCTTTTGTATTTAGGGTTTAATAGTTTCATTTGATCCGTATTTTCTTTTACATTAAGGATGCAATGTAACTCTGGCAACTTCTGAAGTTCCCTGAAGATGTACTACCATTCCTTATGAAGATATTTATTAGGTTCTAGAATTCTACGTTTTATTTCAGGTACATATCTCAGCCCTAAATTATTACCACACACCTCTTTAACCTGTCAAATGTTAAAGTTTTCCTAAAGCTTCCTGGCAAAAGCAGACCTTGAGTAGGGTGTTGCAAAGAGTGAGCTATGGCTTACCCAGGTTCACTGTTTACCCTTGACTACATTAATCCCCTACAACTCTTTGGAAGTTTTATCTCAACAGTGACAAAAGAGCATAAATTAATCATTTCACTAAGAATCCAACATAAAGCTTGGATTATTTTTATAGCGCAATTTACAAAAATGTCTCTATATCTGTAGCTGCATAACCAAGTTACAAGGCACAGAAAGTAGTGAAGTTTTATCTATTTGAGGCCTCAGTGCCAAGATCCAGATCAATTCTTAGCATTATTTCAAAATTAATTTCTTTGAAGGTGATTCTTGAAAAAGCAACCTTTGATGTTTTACCAATTGTTTCCCATCTACATATACTAAATGAAAAGCTTTCAGGCCAACTACAGAAGTATCCAGTTTGCCTGTAGTCATCTCCTCATACAAAGCAACAATGCAATGATAAAAACTGTTCAATATGCATGAAAGAAGAATACACTTACATACATAACCGGTCTGCCTTATTACTATTCAATTGTGTTTTTACATTTTCCCTTGTACAAACTCTGAAAGACAACTGAGTAAAATGCTAAGATATTGTTCCCATTACAATCTTTTTGTAAAGCTGGTTACAGAAAGTGAGGTAGAAACCTGAAAATATTAAGCTAACAAATACCTTAATTTTATAACATATTGCACATGGCTATGTTTTTCAGAGACAGCATATTACAATCTCCATTCTTGACAGTAAGATTTCTGCAGTTGAACTCAAGCAAGAAAAACAGTTTTCAACTGAACCAGTGACAGAATAAGGAAGCATTCAAATGTGTAAGAAACAAAACCTAGATTCTCAACTGTAAACAGCAAATATCTGCCAATACTCGAAAAAACAGAACAGGTATCAGGAACAGTACAGAGTATTGCATTTGAAAAACCCATTTGGTATAACAAATGCATGCTGATTGTACCATTTACAGTTTCTCATACAATGGACAGGGAACCATTACTAGTCACGAGTGAGGGGAAAAAGACAATTAAATAATGGTCCAGAACAGAGGTAGGCCTAGCACGACTTAGGGAAGCGCACCCAATTTGACACCGTTTCTGTAGTCCAACGTCTAGTAACTTACCTTTGCTTTTTCACTGGGTTCACTGGTTGTGCCATAGGGAGTGTTATGCAATTCCTTTGAGACAACACACAGAAATTCAGCCTGATCTTCATTGCCATAGTTATAGGAAGAACCAATACTGACCAGCTGAAAGATTAAAAAAAAAGTCAATTGCATTTCCACATAAAACAAATTCCATAAATTCTCGTCATTAGTACAAACACTCCTCACTCTTCAGACTGTTGGTTGTGCCTGAAGCATGATTCTCCACTTCAATGCAAATACATTTTGATGTTGACAAATACAGACACTCTGATGATAAGATAAACATAGCTTTTCTTTTTAAACATTTACAGAATTAATGATTTACGGTTATGATTATACTGTGAAAGAAAAGGCTACAGAGGCAGGCCAGTGGAAAAGTAGCTTGTTCCCTGTTTCTGTTATTTACTGGAAACCTTCCCATCCTCCAAAGTTAATTTTTAAAAAGTTTGTACGTGGTATCTTAATGTGGCATGATTTAATATGTAAATGGCTGCATGCAGGAAGCACTTTAGCCTGAAGGAATACCCACCACTTTACTTACAGAATAATGCTACTTCTATTAAAAAATATTTTGAGTAGACAAAGACAAAATTCGCATTTGATTGGAAAACAGCAAGACACAGTATGGTGGGACACCAAGATTAACATCTGAAATTCATATATACTGCTACAAGGAAGTTAATTAAGGAGCGCTACAAGCAGAAGCCATGTATAATGAAATGTGACGTATTTACAAGCTTCTACAAGTCTCGGTATTAAATGATAAATGAAAATTTACTGAGAAAGAAGGATATACTCAACATAAGTACTACCTCGTATGCAGCATGTTTATCAAATGGCAGAAATTTCATGTAACTTGTCTTACCTTACACGCAGTACACACTTACCTAATGCTAGAAGCTTTACATAGCCTGCCTTTCCAAGTCAGAATCAATTCAGATGTAGCTGGTTCATTTATTTTAAAGGTTTATTTCAAAAGCATGACAAGATAATGCATGGTGCTATTACTACTGACACAGATCAAAGTACTAAAAATCAACTTGTTACACAGATACACTGTATCTAAACATCATTACCAAAACTGTAGTAAATCTACCTACCAAATCACCACACACGTGATAAGGCTGTCCTAGCCCCCAACCTCTATTATATCATTAAAATGCCCTAGTAGTGGCCCCATAGAAAAGACTTGACTTGTTTTTTAGGGCAACAGCACTTGAAACACTGTAGTTACCTGTCTAAAAACAAACTGTGTACTGCCATTAGTCTAGCAGAGCACCGAAGAGAGTAAAAGCCTTGTTAAAGCAGTGAAGATGCAGCCAAGATGAAATCTTGGTCCAGAATCTGTACTTGAGGGATAAGATTATTCCCCCAACAAAAGTGGAAGGTAGACCAAGGTTAAAAGCAGCTTCCATATAGCACTGTCAGGAGAAAATAAAGCCTCATCGTACTTTTCAGGAGAGAGAGGAGAGAGATGCTCAGATGTTCCAGCACTGCGGTAAGACAGCCAAACAAGCACCTCCATAGACGGACAGAGCCAATGCCTACAAAGAGCAGCAGGCAGTATGCCTGCACAATGAACCAACTTGATGCCAGGCCTAGGCAATGTAAAAGTTTTTGGACCCTGATGGCGTTACAGCATACAAGGCTTAGCCTGCAATGAACAGTACTGGCAATCAAAATCTAGCACTCTCAAACTACCTACTTTAACTACACTGTCTAGGTGTGATCACCAGAAACCTTTCCTTCCCTCCTCCACTCCTAACATCACTCTAGTTCTGTAAAATACATACATAGTCAGTAATGAACACAGGCTGATCAAAAATGAATGTTATAGACATTTTTTCCACCAAAACCATGTAATGAAGTTACAAAACCCCAGGTTTTTTAGAAGCACCAATACCTCCTCATTGGAATACAAAAGCACCGTTTATCTTGAGACATTAATTCAGATAATCTTTCACAATGGATACTCTGCAGTCTGCACCGTAACATATTTTTGTAATATAGTATCACAAAACCCATAAAGTAACTAGCTGCTTAGTTGCACAAAATGGACTAAGAAAGTCCACTGAAAAGCTTGGAAAATCAACCCAGACTTACTTCATATATAGAGATGCTTTGTTGATTCTCTTCCCTATCAGCAAAAAATATCATGCACAAATTTTCAGGAAAAAAAGCAGTTAAGTTGGCTCTAAGCCTGTTGAAGTGGTATAAAGTTTATCCTATATATTATATAGCAATTACAAACTATATAATACAAATACAGTAACTGCTTCAATTATTGAGGTAAAATGTAGGACTATTTTAAACAGTATTTTTAACCCACTTAAAGGCTAGAAAATATTAAAAAAGTTGGATACATGTTTAAATAAACCCATGCATAATTCACCTTCTCTGAAGAGAAATTTTAAGAATAAAATTCAAGCATATGATTTGATTTAGTATACAGTCAACTCTTCTTCTTGCAAAATGGCAAGAACTTGATATCAGATGAGCTATGATGACAACTACCAGAAGGAAAAATATTTCTTTCCTCATTGACGCTCAAAAGAAGTAAATGACCTCTCTGAAAGCAGATATGATACAAGATCCAAACATCAGCCAAATCATCAATCCTGGTTCAACACGGTTGATAGGTCCTCAGTTGACAGCTACTTATATCCCCCACTAATGCTTCATAATCCAAATAAGCTGACCTTTTGCATATAAGTCTTTTTAGGAGACGTGGCAGACTGACTACTTATTAGCTAGTTGGATAGGACTATTGATTTAGCCGACTGCAAAACACCTGGATGACTTTTTGCCATTATTAATCAGCTGGTGCCTTTCAAGATAAAGTCACTTTTGCAACATTAAACACAAATTCTTCAAAACTCCAACACATGATACTCTTGTAAGCAGTTCCATATGTGTGCAACTAAGAATGTATTATTTGCATAGTATCAATAGCATGCTAGAAACTTCATCGTAGCTTTTTGAGATGCATCAGCAGCAATAAGGGTGATGGCAGAAAAAGAAACAATGGAAAATGATTGCAGATTAGAACTGAACTGTTGTGTCAGAAAGTATGATCAGATATAAAGCAATATTTTAGCACTCGTATTCCAAAAGTCACCCCATTGTTCCCAGTGTTGGTGGCAACACTTTAAGAAGGATGCTGGTAAACTGGAAGGAATTGTTAAACTCCCCCACCCCGTGTCTGTCCGTCCGTCCCTGCCCTACAACCCCCCCTTCCCCCCCAAAAAAAAAAGAACCCACAACAAATCAGAGTAATCTGAGGTCTGCAAAACATGCATTACAATGCATAGGAAAAGGATTTCAGATTATCCAGCCTACTGTTTCTCAGACTTTCTGAAAGGACAAACTCTTTTTGGCTCATGGGGCTTAAACAGTAGAGAGAGTTTTAATAACCAAGAACTTAAGGAAAGAAAAAGAGAACATTCTGAAACTCTGAATTCCATAGATTTGTATGATCATACATACATATGTACACATGCATGTATGTGTTTTTCCTCATTGGTTTTTTCCTTCCATAACTTGTTTCTTACAGTCCTTACTAAAGCAGTGTGATCCTGCTTGAGCATCCCTGTGAGCCCCAACAGTGTCATAATAACCAAGCATAGGAAAATGCCAATGTTACTTATCACAGAAAATTCATTAGATCATGATCCATTCACTGTTTGCATGGAATAAGGGTGCTGACACTAGTAGGCTCTCAGCTGTAACTAAAAAAGGCAGGAATAGAAAGCATTATTAGCATTATTATTATTAATTAATCAACAGAAATACATTTATTTGCATTATATTGCTTGATGTGCCAATACAGGTCAGGATTTTCCTGAAAAGACAAAGAAATAACAATAGGGAAGTTCCTGTCTCATAAAGCCTGAACTTCTAAGTAAGATAAAAGATGACTATCAGAAAGGGCAAAGTTAAAAAAAACCCAACAGTTTGGCATAAGTAAAGGCAGACAGAGACTACCTGATGCCTAGCTATGGTCAGGCTTGTTTTCAAAGAGGAAAGACTTAAGAATGATTTCAGGGAGAATAATGAAGTAAATTTCTGAAGAACTTTTCCTAAGTCTGCAGCTCTGTGAGAAGATAACTGTGTCTTTCAAAAAAGACTATTTAAGAAAAACAGATGATAAGAGTGATATTGCTGAGAGAATAGATCAAATGATTCCTGCCTGCATCAAGTTACTCAATGGCAGCAAAATATATGAATCTCTTCCTGTCTTAAATCAATGACTGTACACCTAAAAATATCCCTATGAATAGGCAAATGGTCGGTGCATCACTTTCAGGAACCTTATTTTTGAAGTGAACAAATCTCATGCCTAACTGAATTGAGATAGATCTCAAAACCAGCCACATTTCAATAACTTGCCTATATAGATTTGCTGTACTGGTTTAACAATATTGATTCAGAATCTATACAGCACATTTACAAGACAAATTAGCAATAGTATTACCATTACAGACAACCACTCCAACTTGCACACACAGCATCCCTGTCCTTCTCTACTTCCCACTGGAGTTATTCATATTAACTGACTCTTCTACTTGATGACTACCAATTTCCTTCTCTTTCTGTGATGGTCTGATTCTCAAAACTGAGTAAATTTCATAATAATTATTCTCAAATTCTATTTTAAATATTCTTATACTTTGAATATTACTGCTTCTATTTCAGATGTGGTGAACTCCTTGTACACTAGAAAGCTTGTATCTTTTTTTTTTTTTTAATTATACTATCTAACAGTTGATGGAATAAAAGGAAGTCCTCCCCCCAATTTTTTTTACAGAATCACGTTGTATGAATGTAAGAATGGCCTCTACACCTTTTAGAGTTATAATGCATTCATCCTACTGCCTTCTCAAAGGATTTGTAAAAGGCTATAGATACATACACATCAGCCATTAAACTCAGCACTGATGACTGACACCAGGACCACAAGCATATTTATTTCAGGTCTCTTCATGCAATTGTCAGACTTCAAATCTAGGAGGAAGGAAAATTCATTCCCTTCCAGATTGATTTTTTTTTAATTTTATACCTGCCTTCATGTCTTCACTGCCTTCCCCCATCTCCCATTTTATTACATTGAATTTTGCTTTGAGCTGTCTAGGACATGAACACACAAATAACATCATGCTGCCTGTACCGTACACATCCTTAATAACAGGCCACATTTCCTACTCAGTTCCAGAAAGTCTGCAAACCCAGTGCGTTAATTCCACATTCCAAATGTTACCTATACAACTGCAAGAAACGGTGCTTGGTACATTGAAAGCAGATTCTGGAATATAGCTAGGCAACAGTCCAGGTTTAAAATCTAGAATTGCATGGCTAAGTGTCCATGTAAACTCATAAGCAAGGTTCTGCTCAAATCAAGTCACTTTACTGATATGTTATCGTCATGATGTTATACTGATCTTTCAGACTGAATAACCATATATATAGCAAGGAAAAGAACAAGTACTCCGAGTATTTTACTGATGAAAAATACTACAGAACACCAGGTTCCCAAATCAATTCACATAAGACACTTCAAAATGGAATACAGCTACATAAAGAACTGGAAACTGCCTCCAATGTTACTGGTTAGCAAAAAATCCTTCCCAAACACTGGAACACTGGGAAGTAACACAGCAATTAAAAAAGCAGCGACCTGAGGGCAAGGGGAGGAGGAAGGATGAGACAGCCCAAAAAGCCTATGAGTGAAGCTATGATTCTTCATTTGGGTTTCAAGAAAATTTCCCAAGGGGGAGAAAACCCAAAACAACAAAAAAATAAAGCAAAAAACCCCCAGGATGTTCTTTCCACTTGAGACAAGATTTAAAACTGCTGGTTTTGTTCTCCCCTCGCTCCTCCATATTTTATTTCTGAAAAATTCTGTTATTTGTTGTTCCAGTTTGAATATATTTCATCCACCTAAAAAAAACAGTTCAGTTCTGAGTTACCAGAAACAAAGGGTTCGAACTCAGAACTTAACTGGCTATTAGGTGGATGAAATACACTCAAACTGGAACAATGATTAACACAGAAATGTCCCTTTCTGAACCCACTGAACTCAAAGCTTTATTCACAGGGCTCCTAATGTTTAAATTGTACCACTTTTACTTAACAAGTATGGATCAAAGGCTGTTAACTTTGGAGGAAGATTTAAGGAAAAGAAGTTACCTATTGAGAAGGTAAGAACTCTTCTTAAGAAAAACCTTTAACTAATTAATTAGGGTTTTCTTGTTTGGTTGTTTATTGTTTTTACAATATGAACATTCATAACGTATAATGAAATACTGTGAATATAAATAAAAGCCAGTCACAAATACACACAAATTACTATGTGCTGTACATCCAGGAATAAAGTGGAATGATTCGAAAGCAGCAGAAATGCGAGGAGGCCAAGCATATCAGTGTGAGGGCAAAAAGAATGGTGTGACACACCTCACTGCAGCATTTCTGGAAGCATCTCTCTTCCCCTTTCACTTCCCGTGACACTATCAGCAGATACTCTGACTGCTGGGCCCGGCCACAGCTGTACTGGGAACCTATACTGACAAGCTGAAATAACCAATCAAAGCAAAACACAAAAAGAAACCTTTGTAAAGCTGAAGCACATACCGTTATCCAAATCGTACAAATAACAGATGAGCTCAAATGTTCAGGTAACATTTACTTGCCACTAGAACAGGTTGCTATCAAGCTACAACTTTCATTTCAACATACTTAAAATTTATGGAGGCAGTTGCAAGGCCCTCTGCAATTTCAAGGGAAGTTAAGAGTTTCTGGTAGTAAGTCAGAAAACTCCCCATATCACTGTGGTGTAGCCAACTACTCTGAAAAACATAAACGAAGTTTGGTGCATTATGAAAGTGAGCATTATTTTCCTGTCATACTTGCCAAGTGCAGAAGATAACGTGGATAAAAAACTGGAAGGTGTTATGTAAAGCAATATATCAAGCCTGGGTATGAAGGAGCTTCATCTTGTTCCAGATATTGATAAACAAAATACAGCTAAGGAAACTTATGAAGTCAACTAGAGGAAAAAAAGTTGAGTGCTCTAAATTGGTTTTAGAAGGGGTAATTTACAGAAGATCCAAGAAAGTAAGTGGAGTGGAAAAAATTGTCTGTCTTGTTCCCATAAAAATCAGTACCAAGAACTCTGTTCACACTTGCCAAACGTCTAATAATTCAGAAGTTCAGAACAACCTCAGCTAAACTTCTCAACTTGTTATTACAAAAAATATTTTATCTTAATAACACATGACAATTCCTAGCCCATTTAAATTAAAGCATAGCCTGCCAATGCACTTGAGAAAGATTAGAGCTTTAAATTAAATGTGAAGAACTAGACAACAACTGCCTATTCTGAGTAAACTGGAGATTACTACTGATGAGAAGGCTCATGAACAGTAAATTTATTTTTATCCTGCTATTGTTATGTGAATAATTTTGAAGGCAGCACCTAAATACCATCCTCCTCATATAGTGAACATATTTAAGACAGCATTATGGTGACAGACTCAGCTCACATTAATCATTCAAATTTACATGACTGACACCACTGCTGTCTAAAGCCTTTGTATGTAGCAATTTTGTATAGTCCAAAGTTTCTCATTATGCAGTATTGCCAAAATATTGTTTTTCCTGATTGCCTGAAGAGGTAACAATTGAAGCTAAAAATCATCTACAAAATAACCCACAGAAATCACAGAAGTGGGGCAGCACAACTATTGGCAGTAGTTTTTGGACTGGGGCTGATACATAATTGCAGTATTCTAGCAGCGCTTTCACTTGTATTCTTTGGAAAAGTGCATCAATACATCTGCATAAGTGCACCAGAAGTTTAACACCTTTCACTCCTATTTAATCACCACATCCAATTGTATTTTACAATAAAATTTTGAAATGTTAAGGGGAGAGAAATATTTTTGATCAAAAACAGACACTTAAACATGTTATATGGGGCACAGAGCACAAGGACGCTCAACCCATAGGAATATTACTCCTCTGAAAAAGCTGATGATTTCTATCCCACCAATTATAATATGTACAAAGCATGGTAGGTGCCATCCCAAAGACCACTTCTGAAGGAAGCATGCTGCTGAGCAACACAGGTTTAGAAAAAATAAAAAATTACAGAAATGCTACAGCGTTCTCAAATCTCAACAATAAAGCTGTTTAGATTATACAGAATATTCTAATCATGTTTCCAGTGATGTCTGCTAAAAGCAGGTCTGCAATGCAACCAAAGGAGAGAATGGCCTAGTCTGAGGTAATGAGAAGCTGAGTATTATAAGACCATACAGCTGTTGTGTTTATCTACTTCAAACTATGTGTGTCCAAGAGAGAGCAACATGGGGAAGGGAGGAAGTAGGGAGAAAGCTGGATGAAACAAGGACATAACATTCAAGAAAACCACTCGAATTTTCCAGTTCTAAAAGAGATTCTAAATTCTAAAAGAGGTTATAATAGTTTTTTCAGCAGTTGCACTGTCAAAGCAGTATTACTCCCAAATACAATATCCCCAAAGAATACAAGGCTTTAGGACAGGTAAAAGCCATAGTATCATTTAATCTGTTAAAAAGTAAAGAATCTCTATTTCTAATGAAAGCTAGTTTAACGTGACAAAGAAGAATGTCAAAAAAACTTTGTCATTGCACTGGTCAAAAAACAATCATGTGCATTACATGAGAGCTTTTTTCAGAGACTTAAACAACATTCAGCTTCTGGCATGCCAGACAGACCTGGTAATACTTGAGCCGGAGAACTGAAACATAAGAAGCTTTCTCTGTGCTGGTTTAGTTTATTTGATCACAGCTGTCTCCGTGACACCAGCACCTTACACATTTCATTGAATATAAACAAAACATTCTCTTTTACCTGTGTGTGCCGTACTTTTTAAAAATGTTGCTTAGTTGTGTTATTAGAGTGAGACTGCACAGGATAAGAGGCTTGTGCTTATTCCAATCTCTCCTACAGTTGGCACCAGACATTGAAAAAGATGCTGGCAGCTGAGCACTTGTGTCTCACTCCAGAGTTAACAGATTCATTGCTCCAAAGCAGTTTAAATATTCTGGTAGGTTAGGAATGTGAAGGCTGAAGAAACCATGTAGTTAGTTTCTTATTTACAGAGATTAGCAAAGATAACAGAAAGATCTTGCAATTTCACAATGTATTCTTGAATGTACACACAAACCTATTTTTATGCAGTGCAAAGAACAAAAACATTCACGGAGCTCACACCTATCCAGCTTCACATCCACACTGGTTAAGTTCACCCTCCTATGTGCATCAGTCCTTTATCTGAAGAACCATTGTTTGGGCCTGACAAACATTTGTCTCCCAAGCTCATCTCTTTTACCCAGAGCTCTTTATATCCGACCTACCATTTGTATAAACTTGTATTAGTTAATTTTGGTTTATTCACCCTTCAAATGCTCGTGTGTAGACACTGAAGAATTACATTTCAAACATGATGTAGATGTTTTTATAGAAAGTCAGCACAATTTACCTCCTGGGAAGTTACAGTTTTTTTGCTGTCTGACAAATAAGAATACAAATATCAAATTCTAACTCAACTGTGTATCTTTATCCAATTTCTGAAAATGACTGCACTTAAAAAGATGCACAGAATTGACTTTATACTCCTCTTTCACATAACTGAATTTTTAGAAGACTTTGTAATCATATCCCATATGGTTTTTTTACCTGTTCAAATTTCCAGCCATCGGACATTGTGGAAACCATTTGAGTGAGTTCCTCTTCCTGGCACTGCAGCACCCTGTACACATGTTTGACTGGCACCTTCAAGAAGAAATACAAGATGCTCAATACAGCATGGAATTCACTATGTTTGTGACTTGTCTAAAGTTGCCCTTATTCTTTACAAATGGTAAGCAACGATACCTTGGACACCTTGTCTTTTTTTTAAAAAAAGAAATCTCATCTGTTCAGAATCACCTTGCAGAAGACTCAATGCTTCATGAATATTTCAGGGACTGAAAGCGCTACTTAACAGTTATAACAAAATAATCTTAAGACTTACCTGTCGTTCCATATGGTAGCAAACCACATAATTCAAAATGAAGGTTGAGGATCTGCAGAGGCCTACCTAACTTTAAGGAATGTCTGACCATATTCAAAAATGTCTTTATTTCCCCGTTAAAGTTCCCCATCCAGAGCAATTAGTAACTAGGACCATTTAAGCTGAAACCCTTTAGAAAATGCTATCAGAGCAACTCTGCTATCCCGCAGAGAGAAATTTGGCAACATGAGTTTATAGTATCTCCATGAAGACTCAGTTATCAGGGAATGCCAGAGCAGCAGAGTTAAAGAACAAACCTGAATACTTTCTTTACTTAACAGTTTCTCTATCATATTCAATTTCATGAAGAAATATTCATAAGCTGCTATGAGAAGAGGCAGAGTCTTCTCAACTACAGAGCCCTACAAATAAAGAAACTAACTTTGCTACAAAAGCATATGACAGGAGCTAAACAGCATCTGTATGTATGCTGTATAAACATACTGTATAAACAGCAGTTATACCATAGTTAGGCAATCTCACCATATTCAGAATATTTAAATGTATATGAGAAAAATATATTCTACAAAAGCTGTTTTCTAAAATAACTATTTCCAGAAATGGTATTATGACAAATTCTACTATTACCAGACATTTTTGAACAATTCTTCAGAATGTTTTCAGTTTTTGAACAACAACTAGAACCACATGCCTGTGCTCTTTGTAAGCAAACTGGCAGGTACTGGCAGTTAAGAATATTAATCTTTGTGTACTAATGGTTCCAGCTCAGCCAGCGATGGAGGCAGCCATTCAGTATCTTACTGGGGAAATGAGCAGTTAATGAAAAAAAAATGGAACCCACCCACTACTTGCCATAGAACAAATAATCAAAACCACACTAGAAAACAGCCTCACCTGTGAGATTTTGCTGTCTCTTTCTCTTATTTTGTCCTTTACCAGTTTTATTAGTGATGTGATATTGTAGAATTCAGCCTCTTCCAGTACACCTAGTATGAGAACATTTTTTGGAGAGTGTAAGCAAGGATTCCAGGCCAAAAGCACCAACCGGTTCTCTACGATCTTCTCTACAGCTATAGAAAATGATTTATTTTGCCCTAGGAAAAGTTCATTTACCAATCTAATGATTCTGGCTTCCATCAGGCACATGTAGTTTAAGGTCTAGCTCATTCTGAAAAACTATCCTAAAAAAACCCCAAAGAGAACTGATGCCATTTCACATCCAGAATGAGAGGCAGGAAACAAAAAAAAAGGAGCACAAATGCCATTCCATAGCAGACTGATGAACCACTATAGCTCAGGCCCTGCCTCAGGCTGGAATATG